GGTGAATACACACACACAAGGTATACTAGGTGAGTAAACACACACAAGGTATACTAGGTGAGTAAACACACACAAGGTATACTAGGTGAGTACTAGTTGAGTACTCACACACAAGATATTCTAGGTGAGACTAGGTGAGTATACACACACACGCAACATATACTAGGTGAGTACACACACACACAAGATATACTAGGTGAATACACACACACAAGGTATACTAGGTGAGTACTTACACACAAGATATTCTAGGTGAGACTAGGTGAGTATACACACACAAGATAGTCTAGGTGAGTATACACACACACGCAACATATACTAGGTGAGTACACACACACACACAAGATATACTAGGTGAATACACACACACAAGGTATACTAGGTGAGTAAACACACACAAGGTATACTAGGTGAGTAAACACACACAAGGTATACTAGGTGAGTACTAGTTGAGTACTCACACACAAGATATTCTAGGTGAGACTAGGTGAGTATACACACACACGCAACATATACTAGGTGAGTACACACACACACAAGATATACTAGGTGAATACACACACACAAGGTATACTAGGTGAGTACTAGTTGAGTACTTACACACAAGATATTCTAGGTGAGACTAGGTGAGTATACACACACAAGATAGTCTAGGTGAGTATACACACACGCAGCATATACTAGGTGAGTACACACACACACAAGATATACTAGGTGAATACACACACACAAGGTATACTAGGTGAGTACTTACACACAAGATATTCTAGGTGAGACTAGGTGAGTATACACACACAAGATAGTCTAGGTGAGTATACACACACACGCAACATATACTAGGTGAGTACACACACACACACACAAGATATACTAGGTGAATACACACACACAAGGTATACTAGGTGAGTAAACACACACAAGGTATACTAGGTGAGTAAACACACACAAGGTATACTAGGTGAGATTAGGTGAGTATACACACACTCAACGTATACTAGGTTAGTACACCCAGAAACAAGATATACTAGGTCAATACACACACACACACAAGATATAGTAGGTGAGTACACATACACACAAGGTATACTACTTGAGTACACACTCACAAGGAAAACTATGAGAGTACACACCCACAAAGTTTGCAACGTGAGTACACACAGAAGGTATACTAGGTGAGTACACACACACACACAAGTTTCTCCTCTAGAGAGATTAACTCACAAGTTATTCCTCTAGAGCATTTCCTTGCGAACAAATTGATACCAAAATTAATTAAGGTCAGCAGACCGAAAAAGAGTATAAACATTTCAGTATTGCGAGCGCACATGTCCGCATTTCAATGCCCCCTTCCCAGGGCTGGGGGTGCCGGAATGCGCAATAAACGACTCACATCCGGCGGCTGCTTGTCGAAGGCGGAAGTGGAGCCTATATAGGCCGTTTGTCATGATAATTAGTGATGGCTCTTATTTTGATTATGGGTCCGTAATAAAATGAAGTCTTTTTTCTTAATTTATATTACCATGCTGGTAGAATACACTTCTTGATGATGAATATGGAGTACACATGAAATACCACACATAGGATGAGTATGGATTACACAAGAAACTATTTATTTATTTATTTATATATATATTCAATAAGTTACATTGGGTTTATGAAAGTACATAACATGATGTGTTTACAATCTCTTAAAGCCACTAGTTTGCTTTACAAGGCAAACCAGTGGCTTTACAAACTAGTGTTGGATAAGTTCGGAAACCTGTGTCACCATATGGGACTGGTGGTTAATGAAGATAAAACTAAGTTTGAATGTAGAAGTCGGAGGCCCATTATATTGAAAATAAACGGTAAAAATATAGAGTGTGTTAATATATATAAATATTTAGGCATATATGTTGGATATACCCATGAGAGTTTGAAAGCTGAGATGAACAGACTGTTGGGTCAATGTCGAAAGAGATTACAACCTCTGAAGGCCTTGGCATGCTGTGGAAAGGGAGTGGGAGTCCCTGTGCTACGAATGATATACTTGAGTACTGTAAGATCCCTTATTGATTATGCTGCACCTGGTATTTTTTGTTGTGGTAAAGGTAGGATGGGCAAGTTGGAGAAGGTACAAAATGAAGCCATGAGAATTATCTTAGGATGCCCAAGAAATGCTATGATTGAGAAAATGAGGATGGAGTTGAATCTGCAGAGTATTGGGGATAGAATTGCAGAGATAAATGTAGCTTCTGCCATTAGATTAATGAGAGGTGGGGGAGCTAATGAATTGGTCCTCTCAGTTCAAAAGGTGGGAAGTAATGAACAATGTATGATGAAGAAAAGAGCATATATGAATACCTTATGTTCTAATGTTATTAAGTATGATGTTATTACAGAGTGTATTGCTGTGCCCAAGAGAAAATTCACACCACCATGGGAGGATTGTAATGTAGATGTAGTAATTACTCCCTTGCAAAAGAAAAAAAGTATGTATGAAATAGGAGAGCTGAGGGCAACATATGATTGTATAATTAGAAAATTGCCTACAGAAAACACTCTACATGTATATTGTGATGGGTCAGTAGCTAGGGATGGGAAGGCAGGATGTATATTGTGATGGGTCAGTAGCTAGGGATGGGAAGGCAGGATGTATATGTTCTTAACATTCTGAAACCTATATTGTTTGCTGATGATACTACACTCATCTACTCCAACCCCAACCCACATACACTAAATACTGTAATGTTGTGAATAATGAACTAAAAAAAGGCCACTTATGGATGTCAACCAACAAACTAACACTTAACATAGAAAAGACCTACTACATCTTATTTGGAAGCAAATCTACAAATGCAATTCAGCTTCAGATAGACAATGTAAACATTAGCAATAACAATGATGGAAAGTTTCTTGGCCTATTCCTAGACAAGAGTCTCAACTTCAGTACCCACATACAACACATAACTAAGAAAGTCTCTAAAACAGTTTGTATACTCTCCAAAATCAGATATTATGTACCTAACCCTGCTCTCATCTCTCTATATTATACACTAATCTATCCCTATCTCAACTATGGTATCTGTGCATGGGGTTCAACCACTGCAAACCACCTCAAGTCCATCATCACCCAGCAAAAATCTGCTATCAGAATAATATCAAATTCTGCTTTCAGACAACACTCAGCCCCCTTGTTTAACTCCCTAAACATGCTAAACATAATCTCACTCCATAAATTCTCTTGTGTCAACTACATTTACAAAACCCTGTTCTTAAATGCAAATCCTGCTCTGAAACTCTTCCTGGACAGATGTAATAGGACCCATTATCACCACACCAGAAATAAATATCTCTTTGATATCCCCAGAGTTAAACTTGTATAAATAAATAAATAAATAAATAAATATGTTTATTCAGGTAAGGTACATACATACAAGTAATGTTACATTAATGGATCGATATATAGAAAGAGCTAGTACATACAATGTCTAAAGCCACTATTACGCAATGCGTTTCGGGCAGGAAAAACATTAATATCTAGAACTTAATACTAATTGAGCATAAAGAATAAAATGTGTTGAGAACAAATACAAATAAAGATAAAAAAAGGGGAACATGACTGAAAAAGCAGCACAAATACAATAGGTTGACAAACAGTGTTGATTAAAAAAAAAAAAAAAAAAAATAACAGACATGGGTTGACAATAGAGGGGTAAGGTAGGTTACAGTGAATTTATTAGGTAGTGTTTAGTTTTATCTTAAACTGGTTGAGAGAGGTACAGTCTTTAACATGGTTGGGAAGATCATTCCACATTCTGGGTCCCTTGATTTGTAGAGCATTTCTAGTTTGATTAAGTCGTACTCTTGGAATATCAAAACTGTATTTATTTCTGGTGTGGTGCTCATGGGTTCTGTTACAATCTTCAATGAAGCTTTTGAGCTTATATGTATGTATTTGTAATGTATGTATGTAAACAATGTATTTGTTATCATTTATCAATTCTGATAGAAATTACCTACTTAAAATTATCTGTTAGATTAAGGACCTGCCCGAAACGCTGCGCATACTAGTGGCTTTACAAGATTGTAAATACTGTACTATTCAATGTATTCTCACAAACCCAATGTACCTACTTGTATATATATAAATAAAATAAAATAAAATATTGTGATGGGTCAGTAGCTAGGGATGGGAAGGCAGGATGCAGTATGCCAAACTGAATTCGTGCGCCCCTTGAGGGACTTGAAGTAGAGGGATAGGGATCACAGGATAAGTATGGGTTGCACAAACTACTGGTAACAGGATGAGTATGGGTTGCACAATTAATTACTACAAAGTGGTTGAGTATGGGGTGCACGTAAATGAAGACTCCCAAGAAGCAAATCAGAGATCAGCCCAAGCTTCATCTTGAGGCAAAGCTCAATGCCTTAAGCCATATTGATGCTCTGTCCACGGAGCATTCTCTCTCTCAAATCATAATAGTACACTAATGGTTCCCTACACCACCCCTCAGGTGCAGGTGCAGCAGGCTTGGGTGACATGATGACTATGGGGTGCACAATAAACTAACACTCACAGAATGAGTATGGGCTGCACAATAAGCTACCTCTCACAAGATTAGTAATAAAGAAACATTATTTTTTTGGGTAGGGTGACTGAAACTCATCCTGGGGTAAAAATGTTTATTTAAATTTATTATAGTTAAATGAATTTAGTAAATTATTCCATATATTGTATTATAAGTGAATTGACACTAAACTATAAATGATACTAATAAGGTTTTAAAAATGAAAAACAGTAAAAATCCTTCATGTAAGATATGGAAGTTGAAAAGTAAATTAACTGTAAACTAAATTATAAACTGTAGACATAATATAAAGTATTATAAGTAAAATACCTATAAACTACCAAATAATAAGGTGTAAGGAACCATTTCTATTGTTTGTCCTTTTTTACCTGTTTCCTCAGGTATTTTAAAATTCCCATTCCCTTGTTACTACACTGTTTTCCTGGTGTAGTTCCCTGTGGTTCAAATTTTACTACATGTACTTCTTGCTGTTTCTGAATGATTGCTAATGGTAGCCCTTGTTGCACCTGCGGAACGTTTTGTAAATGTTGCACCTGCGGAACTTTTTGTACTTGTTGCACTTCTTGCACCTGCGGAACTTTTTGTACTTGATGCATTTCTTGCACTTGTAGCTCGTCATGATTTTTTTCCAGGTCATTATCGCTATCACCTTCTGATCCTAATGTAAGTTTATCTGCATCAAGCTTCCTTGTGCGTGCTGGAAAAAAATAAACATTTATAAAAATACTGCATGTACATACACAGTTAAAAAATTGCTCAAGGAGCTAAGTAAGAACAAAGCAGTTGGCCAAGTGTAACAGTAAAAATATTGGCTAAACCATACAAATTTTCCATTGTAATCATTGCTATCACCTTATATCATGATTGTTATATTGAATGCATATCTTACTATATTATACCTTGAAATATTCCTCAAATTATGCTACAATTTATATTTATTTATTTATGCATATACAAGAATGTACATAAGGAATGTGAGGATACAAATATGGTAATTACAGTCTTGTAAAGCCACTAGCACGCGCAGCGTTTCGGGCAGGTCCTTAATCTAAGAAAATTTTAAGGAGGTAAATACTTGCAAAATTTATAGACAAAAAAATGATAACAGATTACATGGAATGAAAAAAAAGATGAGAGAAAATTATAGGTACAGTATATTAAAGCACATAGGTAGCTATGATTGATTGCAATGACAGCTTAAAATGGTAGTTGACAACAAATTGGTAGGCACAATACAGCAGAAACAATATAAGATTGATTGCAATGACAGCTTGAATGGTAGTTGACAAAAATTGGTAGTCACAATACAGCATATGGCTAGCACATAAAAGAAGACAGCAATGAACACAATGATAAGGTTGTTTGATATTACATAAAAATTAGGAGATTGGGTAACACTAGGTACAGAGCAAATTTAAAGCTCAGTGTAGGAAACTAAATAGATGAAGTTAGGTACTTTTTGGTTTTGCTTTTAAATAAGGCAAAAGTTTTACAGTTTTTCAATTCACTAGGGACTGAGTTCCATAGACTAGGTCCCTTAATTTGCATAGAGTGTTTACACAGATTAAGTTTGACCCTGGGGATATCAAAGAGATATTTATTTCTGGTGTGGTGATAATGGGTCCTATTACATCTGTCCAGGGAGAGTTTCAGAGCATGGTTTGCATTTAAGAACAGGGTTTTGTAAATGTAGTTGACACAAGAGAATGTGTGGAGGGAGTTAATATTTAGCAAGTTTAGGGATTTAAACAAGGGAGCTGAGTGTTGTCTGAAAGCAGAGTTAGTTATTATTCTGATAGCAGATTTTTGCTGTGTGATGATGGGCTTAAGGTGGTTTGCAGTGGTAGACCCCCATGCACAGATACCATAATTAAGATAGGGGTAGATTAGTGCATAATATAGTGAGAGGAGAGCAGAGTTAGGAACATAATATCTGATTTTGGAGAGTATACCAACTGCCTTAGAGACTTTCTTAGTTATGTGTTGAATGTGGGTGCTGAAGTTGAGTCTCTTGTCTAGGAATAGGCCAAGAAAGTTGCCATCATTTTTATTACTGATGTTAATGTTGTCTATCTGTAGCTGAATTGCATTTGATGATTTGCTTCCAAATAAGATGTAGTAAGTCTTTTCGATGTTTAATGTTAGTTTGTTCGTTGACATCCATAAGTGGACTTTTTTTAATTCATTATTCACAACATTATTTAGTGTATGTGGGTTGAGGTTTGAGTAGATAAGGGTAGTATCGTCAGCAAACAATATAGGTTTGAGAATATTAGAGACATTAGGCAGATCGTTTATATATATAAGAAATAGAAGAGGTCCTAAGATGCTGCCCTGTGGCACTCCAACGGTAATTGGTAGAGTGGAAGAAGTTGTATCATTGATGGTTACATATTGGTGTCTGTCACTAAGATAGGATCGGATGTAGTCAAGGGCAAGGCCTTGGATTCCATAATGCTGGAGTTTAAGTAAGAGGTAGTTGTGATTAACAGTATCAAAGGCTTTTCTTAGGTCAATGAAGAGTCCAATCGGAAACTCATTTTGTCAAGGGCTGAGTAGATAATGTCAAGGAGACTAATGATTGCATCATTGGTGCTCTTTTGGGACCGGAAGCCAAACTGGCAGGGGCTGAGTATGTCGAATTTTACGAGGTAGGAATAGAGCTGTTTGTAAATAATTTTTTCAAATATTTTTGATAGAATGGGTAGATTTGATATTGGTCTATAATTGTTTATGTCCGCCGGATTGCCTCCTTTATGGACTGGCGTTACTCTTGTTTTTTTGAGGATATCAGGGACGGTGTGATACTCTATAGATTTGTTGAACAGTAGTGCTATGGGTGGGGCAAGGGCATGGGAGGCTCTCTTGTACACAATGGACGGAATTTCACTGGTGTTCCCTGCCTTGGTTTTTAGAGAATGTATGATGGACACAACATCTGCCGGGCTGATTGGTGAAAGGAGAAGAGAGTTTGGATAGCTGCCTGAGAGATATGTGTTAATATGTGTCTGAGTCTGTGGGATTTTACTGGCAAGATTAGCACCAACCGATGAAAAGAAACTATTAAATTCATTTGCCATTTCTAAGTCAGTTGACGGTATACCCCCATCCTTGTAGAGTTTTATTTGGTTATGTGAGTGTTGTTTAGTTCCTAGGATACTAGAGATAGTTTTACAAGTGCTTTTCATGTTGCCTTTTGCTTCATTGAATCTATTCACATAATATGCAAGTTTTGCCTTTCTTATGGTACTGGTAAGCATTGATGAGTACCTTTTAGCTACTTCCTTTGAAACTAGGCCAATCCTAACTTTCTTTTCATATTCATGTTTCTTGTTGATTGAGTTGAGAATGCCACTTGTGAGCCATGGATTGTTTAATCTTTTGTCAGTTACTTACTTGGTAAGAAGGGGACAATGAATGTTGTAGAGGCTTAGAGTTTTGGAGATGAAGAGGTTAGCTAATGAATTTATATCATGGGTATTATTGAATTCAGAATCCCAGTTAATATTGTAAAGTGCCTCTGTAAGATTGTCTAAAGCAGATTCACTGTGTAGCCTAAATGAAAGTTTCTTGCTTTTTGGTGGTGTTATGTCCATGTTCGCTATGAGAAAGGTAGGATAGTGGTCAGTTGTTCTGTCGTAGATTATACCAGATACAAGGGGAGCTGTTATGTTTGTCCATATGTGGTCCAAGGTAGTGGCTGATGTTTGAGTGACTCGGGTAGGTTTGGTGATTGTGGGGATTAGCATACAGGAGTTCATGCTGTTAAGGAAATAGTCAACTTGAGAGCAATTTTGTTGACCCAGGTCAATATTAAAATCTCCTCCCAGAATGAAGTGGTTTTTGTTGAGATTGTTGTTTATAATAAGATTCCTTAGGTTGTCTGAGAAAGAAGCTATGTTAGTATTGGGAAATCTATAGATGGCTCCAATAGTCAAAGAAGATTTAAAGGATTTAATTGTAAACTGAGCAAAAGTATATTCACAGTAGTCATCTCTGTTACTAATAACACTGTTGCAGATAAATGTATCTCGATAATATATAGCTGTGCCACCACCTTTTTTATTAGGCCTACAGTTATGAATGGTTTTATAACCAGCTAAGTTGTAGAGTTGGGTATAGTCTTTATTTAGCCAAGTTTCTGTTAAAATAATGAACGATAGGTTAGTACCTATTGCTGTGAGTAATTCATTTAAATCGTCAAAATGTTTACCAAGTGATCTAACATTTTGGTTATAAACTGATAGACAGGTGCTATTTTGAAGTTTGTTTTTAGCCTGGTGTGCTGTGAAATACTTGCAATAATGATGATCAATGTGCTGGTTGGTGTAGATATGAGACAGAAGATTTTGATCAGGATCAATATCAGTGTGCATAGGATGCAGAGGGATCACGATACAAGATACACGATAAAGCAAAACACAAGAATAAAAGCAAATACAATAAAATAGTAACAATTTAGAAGTAAAATAAAGATCCAATAGATAGCCAGGGAGGACACAGAAGTTACATAAAATAAAAAACAAAAAATCAGTAGAGACTGACAATATAAATGTAAAATAAAAAATAATAAGAAAAATGATAATCATAAAAAAAATGATCTTGAAGATAATTAGCTTAGTAATGGTTAATTAACAGGGTAATAAAATATGTTGATAACCCTCAAATTTTACTTTAATGTACATAGTAATCTTTGTAAAACTTTCTTACAATGTACCAGCCAATTTTTTCCAATTTTGCTTTAAATTGCCTATTTAAAATTATCTGTTAGATTAAGGACCTGCCCAAAACACTATGTGTGCTAGTGGCTTTACAAGAATGTAAAAACATCAATGCTATGTACTCTCATAATCCCAGTGTGCTATCTTGTATATAAATAAATAAACAAATAGTATGTAAGTACTGTACAGTATTATTCATGTTGATTCTATACCTTATCAAGCAAGTTCAGCATAAGAAGAATACAAATGAATACAACAGATGTAGACAAACTTCAATACCTGATTTTCAATCCTTCGTAGAACCCGGCTTGCTGTATTTCGTTCTAAAGCCTTCTTGCCTTTAAGTAGAAAACGGGCTTCCTCTTCTTTCTTCATTAATTCTCTACTGTTTCGGAAGTCACACTGGCAGAACTTGCAAACATTGCTTCGGACATGCACACATTGTGTGCAGTTTGTGCATCTCCTCAAGAATTTTCCCTGAAGACCTGAAGGAAATAATTTCTAATAAAATACTTGTATTCAAATCACCTATGCTGCAAAAATTATAAGTTAAATTGTTGTTAAAATGTACTACAGTAATTAAATATATTATTTAAATTATGAAATAATCTACATTAACACTAGTGATAGCAATGTTAAAAATTTTAGGACTGCATCTGGAAATAACTTTAATTTTGGATGTGATTAACCAGGCTGTAACTCGTATAACAAAACTGAGAGGAGTTGCATCCAACAGCCTGATTGACCAGGCTGATAATTTCAAGCAAATACTATATTATTGGAAGAAAAATATATATATATATATATATATATATATAACTGAAAACTCACACCCCAGAAGTGACTCGAACCCATACTCCCAGAAGCAACGCATCTGGTATGTACAAGACGCCTTAATCCACTTGACCATCACGACCGGACATAATGAGGTGATAGCCGAGGCTATTTGAACCACCCCACCGCCGGCACTCGGATAGTTATCTTGGGCATAGCATTTTACCAAATCACCTCATTCTTTGGGGCAACACGTGAGGAACACAAATGCGAACAAGCCTGAATGGTCCCCAGGACATATGCAACTGAAAACTCACACCCCAGAAGTGACTCGAACCCATACTCCCAGAAGCAACGCATCTGGTATGTACAAGACGCCTTAATCCACTTGACCATCACGACCGGACATAATGAGGTGATAGCCGAGGCTATTTGAACCACCCCACCGCCGGCACTCGGATAGTTATCTTGGGCATAGCATTTTACCAAATCACCTCATTCTTTGGGGCAACACGTGAGGAACACAAATGCGAACAAGCCTGAATGGTCCCCAGGACATATGCAACTGAAAACTCACACCCCAGAAGTGACTCGAACCCATACTCCCAGAAGCAACGCATCTGGTATGTACAAGACGCCTTAATCCACTTGACCATCACGACCGGACATAATGAGGTGATAGCCGAGGCTATTTGAACCACCCCACCGCCGGCACTCGGATAGTTATCTTGGGCATAGCATTTTACCAAATCACCTCATTCTTTGGGGCAACACGTGAGGAACACAAATGCGAACAAGCCTGAATGGTCCCCAGGACATATGCAACTGAAAACTCACACCCCAGAAGTGACTCGAACCCATACTCCCAGAAGCAACGCATCTGGTATGTACAAGACGCCTTAATCCACTTGACCATCACGACCGGACATAATGAGGTGATAGCCGAGGCTATTTGAACCACCCCACCGCCGGCACTCGGATAGTTATCTTGGGCATAGCATTTTACCAAATCACCTCATTCTTTGGGGCAACACGTGAGGAACACAAATGCGAACAAGCCTGAATGGTCCCCAGGACATATGCAACTGAAAACTCACACCCCAGAAGTGACTCGAACCCATACTCCCAGAAGCAACGCATCTGGTATGTACAAGACGCCTTAATCCACTTGACCATCACGACCGGACCGGACCATCACTTGACCATCCGGTCGTGATGGTCAAGTGGATTAAGGCGTCTTGTACATACCAGATGCGTTGCTTCTGGGAGTATGGGTTCGAGTCACTTCTGGGGTGTGAGTTTTCAGTTGCATATGTCCTGGGGACCATTCAGGCTTGTTCGCATTTGTGTTCCTCACGTGTTGCCCCAAAGAATGAGGTGATTTGGTAAAATGCTATGCCCAAGATAACTATCCGAGTGCCGGCGGTGGGGTGGTTCAAATAGCCTCGGCTATCACCTCATTATGTCCGGTCGTGATGGTCAAGTGGATTAAGGCGTCTTGTACATACCAGATGCGTTGCTTCTGGGAGTATGGGTTCGAGTCACTTCTGGGGTGTGAGTTTTCAGTTGCATATGTCCTGGGGACCATTCAGGCTTGTTCGCATTTGTGTTCCTCACGTGTTGCCCCAAAGAATGAGGTGATTTGGTAAAATGCTATGCCCAAGATAACTATCCGAGTGCCGGCGGTGGGGTGGTTCAAATAGCCTCGGCTATCACCTCATTATGTCCGGTCGTGATGGTCAAGTGGATTAAGGCGTCTTGTACATACCAGATGCGTTGCTTCTGGGAGTATGGGTTCGAGTCACTTCTGGGGTGTGAGTTTTCAGTTGCATATGTCCTGGGGACCATTCAGGCTTGTTCGCATTTGTGTTCCTCACGTGTTGTCCCAAAGAATGAGGTGATTTGGTAAAATGCTATGCCCAAGATAACTATCCGAGTGCCGGCGGTGGGGTGGTTCAAATAGCCTCGGCTATCACCTCATTATGTCCGGTCGTGATGGTCAAGTGGATTAAGGCGTCTTGTACATACCAGATGCGTTGCTTCTGGGAGTATGGGTTCGAGTCACTTCTGGGGTGTGAGTTTTCAGTTGCATATGTCCTGGGGACCATTCAGGCTTGTTCGCATTTGTGTTCCTCACGTGTTGCCCCAAAGAATGAGGTGATTTGGTAAAATGCTATGCCCAAGATAACTATCCGAGTGCCGGCGGTGGGGTGGTTCAAATAGCCTCGGCTATCACCTCATTATGTCCGGTCGTGATGGTCAAGTGGATTAAGGCGTCTTGTACATACCAGATGCGTTGCTTCTGGGAGTATGGGTTCGAGTCACTTCTGGGGTGTGAGTTTTCAGTTGCATATGTCCTGGGGACCATTCAGGCTTGTTCGCATATATATATATATATATATATATATATATATATATATATATATATATATATATATATATATAATCAATATTGTAACTTTTTTTGTGTAATGACGTTTTCAAATAAAGTTAGATAAATATACACACATACCAAAAGAATAGGGGTGGTAGGAGAAGAAAATATGAAAGTGTTCAGTGAGGATCCACAAGGTCTTCTCTGCGTACTCTTTATTTTCTTCTCCGAGGCTATGGGTCCCTACACTTGCACCAGAGGTGGTACCCCTCATATATATATATATATATATATATATATATATATATATATATATATATATATATATATATATATATATATATATATATATATATATATATATATATATATATATATATATATATATATATGACAGTGTCAGACCACGGAGGAAAATTGAAACAAATTTCCTTATATTAATACATCTTCATTCAGAAGAAGTCATGTATTAATATATGAAAGTACTTAAGGAAATTTCTGTTTCAATTTTCCACAAGGTTACAAGGGGTCCGTCTAATTACCACAAGCTACCACAAGCTACACAAGCTTCACAAAAATTCCTGGCAATACGTTAGTAATGAATAAATATGATATGTTAGATTAGGCTGACATAACCTAACCTAACATAACCTAATCTATCCTAACCTAACGTAACTTAACCAAACCAAACCAAGTATCTCAAGTTACAAATATCTCTGGGAATTCGTATTATCTGCTGTTGTAGAATTGACAAAATGGACAGTGTCAACAAAATTATTCCCACATACTCCATCACTATGTGATGGGTACACATAGGACAGGGGACTGTAACAAATGTTCTAGCATAAAACTTTGTACAGTTTAGTAATTTCTTACCGTTTGATGTACAAGGATGATCCATGTGTGGTGAAGTTTTATAGCTGGAGCTGGAAGATCCTGTCGAGATGACTTCTTCAAAGAGACTAATAGCTTTCACACACATTGTGTATGAGTCCTCCAGTACTTGGCCTACAGAGTTACCAGATCTGATTTACAGAAACTATTGAACTATGGAGATGAGATTGTTAATAATATACTTTTTTTGAGATTCATATGACTTGCAGCTTAAAAACCAACCTTATTTTAAAATAGTACACTAAAGTACATAGCAAATTGCGAAATTCGTAGCTTTAACTACTTTAAAGCTAAATTCTCAAGCTTTGAAAATAAGCACAATTTGCTATTTTAAGCGGAATCTGGCAACTCTGATTTAGCATGTAAACATTGACTTGCATTCACAATGTAGTTATTTATTTTTCAACAATTTAAAACGGGTTATGAAAATACACACATTGGTACATTATTGCAAAGGCACTATACTATATATATATATATATATATATATATATATATATATATATATATATATATATATATATATATATATATATATATATATATATATATATATATATATATATATATATATATAAATTGTTGCAAGTCGAGCAACAAATATTTTACATTGAACAACAAATGAGATTGTAAAAGCAGTATTGCCAAAATAGACCCCAGACACACCCTGTGGGTAGTAATGGACCCCCATACCGACCCTATGAAGGGTAGTGGACCCCATAATAACACTATGGGCGATAGTGGACACTATACAAATACTATGGGCGGTAGTTGACTTCATAGCGACCCCGTGGGCGGTAGTGGACCCCCTATCGACCCTGTGGGCGGCAGTGGACCCCCTATCGATCCTGTGGGCGGCAGTGGACCCCCTACCGACCCTGTGGGCGGCAGTGGACCCCTACCGAACCTGTGGGCGGTAGTGGACCCCCCCCTATCGACCCTGTGGGCGGCAGTGAACCCCCTATCGATCCTGTGGGCGGCAGTGGACCCCCTACCGACCCTGTGGGTGGCAGTGGACCCCCTACCGACCCTGTGGGCGGTAGTGGACCCCCTACCGACCCTGTGGGCGGTAGTGGACCCCTACCGACCCTGTGGACGGTAGTTGACTTCATAGCGACCCTGTGGGCGGTAGTGGACCCCATACCGACCCTGTGGGTGGCGGTGGACCCTATACCGACTCTGTGGGCGGCAGTGAACCCTATATACTAATCCTGTGGGCGATACTGTACCCTATAGTCATCCTGTGGGGGCAATGGACGCCATACATATCCAGTGGGTGTTATTGGACCCCATACTTATTCTGTGGGTGGTTGGAGCCCCATACCCATCCTGTGGGTTATAGTGGACCCCATACTCATCCTGTGGGTGGTATTGGACCCCATACCCATCCTGTGGGTGGTTGTGAGCCCATACCCATCCTGTCGGTGGTAGTGGACGCCATACACATCCAGTGGATGGTATTGGATCCCAAACCCTTCCTGTGGGTGGAAGTGATCCCCATACCCATCCTGTGGGTGGATGTGACCCCCATACTCATCCTGCGGGTGTTATTGGACCCCTTACCCACCTAACAGGTGGTAGTGGACCCTATACTAATCCTATACTGTATTTGGGATAGTACACACCATACATTCCTGTTTGCAGTAGTTTACCCTATATACATTCCAACATAACATCGTTTTCTGTTAGCGTTCCTACAAAACATTCTTTAAAGATTTTTAAAGCACAAACTATGGTATATAATATTGATTGGTGAAGCACTGTTATTCTATGTAATAATTTATTGTGCTTATTATAATTTACTAAGAACAACTAATATTTCTCAAAACAAAACTACGAGCCTTCAATAGGATGTAGCTGATCTGTAATATTATAAGAGCATGGACAATAGTAGGTAAATTTCACAACCCATGTGGGACCTAAAAACTACAATTTTCGTTATAATTGAACCAATCACGACTATTCAGCTATCTACGTTGATGGACGGGTACTGTGAGACGTAAATTGGTACGTGAGGAAGAGTTTGAGCCTTGGTAAAAAAGTTAACTGGGAATATATCACATATGTACTAAATCACATTCCACATATTGACTTTAAGCATTAAGTCATATATGTGCTGTCTTGTGTGAGAACGGGTTGCTCTCTGTCTCTCTCTCTCTCTCTCTCTCTGTCTCTCTCTCTCTGTCTCTCTGTCTCTCTCTCTCTCTGTCTCTCTCTCTCTCTCTCTCTCTCTCTCTCTCTCTCTCTCTCTCTCTCTCTCTCTCTCTCTGACTCTCTCTGTCTCTCTCTCTCTCTGTCTGTCTGTCTCTCTCTCTCTCTCTCTCTCTCTCTCTCTCTCTCTCTCTCTCTCTCTCTCTCTCTCTCTCTCTCTCTTTCTCTCTCTCTCTCTCTCTCCCACATTCCTCACCCACCACCATTTTCTCTCACCCTCCCTCACCCACTACCATTTTCTCTCACCCTCCTCCCTAGCTCACCCACCACCATTTTCTCTCACCCTCCTCCCTCACCCACCACCATTTTCTCTCACCCTTCTCCCTCACCTACCACCATTTTCTCTCACCCTCCTCCCTCACCCAATACTATGTTCCCTCACCATTTTTCTCCACCATTGTATTTCACTCACTCACCACCATTGTATCTCTCTCCTCCCTCACCCCACCATCATTTTCTCTCACCCTCTCACTTATCGCAGGAGCTGACGTCGAAGAAGTACTCTGAGGAGTTTCTGTCTAGCGGCGAGCTGAACCTGTGGGGCATGAACGGGCGCGGGGACGTGTGTACCTCGAACGCCTTCTTCGGGTGTGTCCGTACTGGCAACCCCGTCCACATCCTCAACCCCGTCATGAGCGCCAAGCTCAGGACCCTCTCCAGCTTCGCCTTCAGGTGGGTGCTCAGAGAGTCGCTTGTGTGTGAGTTTTCAAGGGGTTTAATGCGTTCTTCCCCTGGAATGTTTTGGCTAATCTGTTTATCCCCATTACATGGAGAGGCGGTGGTCTAGTACGTTCTGTCGAACGTTTGTCACATTTGGTTCTACACTTGATAGTCTCGAAGTTATCTTGAATGTTTGTAATGCTCTGGGAGGTGTTAAACCTGAATTAATTTACGTTTTCGTGTTTTCTGGATATGGTTTGCCAGCTTTTGTGGAGGTTTTTGATTAATTTTACTATTCTTTGGTGCTTAGTTAAGAATTTCAATATGTTCTTTGAATCCATCGTCTGCTCTCACAAGATAATTGAGTGCGCTTCATAGTTTATTTTAATTGCGCGTGCATACAAGCACGTGCGCGTTGTCGAATGTATGTGTTTGTGTTTTGTGCATGTGTTTGAGTGTGTTTGCTGGCGAGTGCGTGGGAGGAGGGATGGGGGATTTCTCAGCAAGTTGTGTTGCCGGGTAGAAGATACTTTAATTTGTTTTCCCCTGTTTTTCTGTCAATGCTTTCTTGACTGGTGTTGCTACCCTGCACCAAACAGGGTGGCAACAGGTCAAACAAGTTCCCGTTGGTAAGGCCCATCCCGTTCAGGACAAGGACACTCTCCATGCACCAACCACACCTCCAATTTACGGTAATTGAAGATGCAGAAGCCACAATGCCACCCAGACACACTGAAGGCTCACAGGGGGTGCAGCAAGCAACGATGTCAGGCTTGCAAAAGGTTCCACCATAGGGTATCCACCTCACCACCTCGAGCCCTCATTGTCTCAATCGACCAGCTCTGAACCGGGTGATATGAGATTAACACTGGCTTCATGCGTCCTCGGGCATGCTTGACCAAGGGTGCCAGGACTCTTGCATGTTTTGCACATGCCAGTTGCACCAGACCAACCCCTTGCGGCCCTGAATAGTTACTAGAGGATTAGCTCTCACCTGGACTACGTGAGCAAAGTATCCCTCGCTCAGTAGATGTGTACCAGAGGAGAAGCGCCTGTGACACGAGGGAACCTCGCAAGAGGACCTGATTCCACAACTGTAAACCTCGCAGGAGGACCTGATTCCACAACTGTAAACCTCGCAGGAGGACCTGATTCCACAACTGTAAACCTCGCAGGAGGACCTGATTCCACAACTGTAAACCTCGCAGGAGGACCTGATTCCACAACTGTAAACCTCGCAGGAGGACCTGATTCCACAACTGTAAACCTCGCAGGAGGACCTGATTCCGCCACAGTAAACGGGGCGGTAGAAACTTTCTCGCCATGTCTGAGAAATCTCGGCTCTTTTGGATTCCAATACATCATCGATCACAATCCTGATATCTTACATGGCTGACCAACCGGTCCATTCAGTTTTTAATCGAGAGCTGCTGCTGCCCTCACCGCCTGGTCGACCGAGTCCAACAGAATGCCGAAATGCTTATTCTTATGCAGCTGCTGGATCAAAGACCAAATTTGTGCATCCCTACTGCCGTCCTTGCAGTCTGTGCACCATCCCCTACCACCGTCCTTCCTGTCAGTGCAACATCCCCAATCACTGTCCTTCCTGTCAGTGCAACATCCCCTACCACTGTCCTTCTTGTCAGTGCAACATCCCCTACCACCGTCCTTCCTGTCAGTGTAACATCCCCTACCACTATCCTTGCAGTCGATGTAGCATCCCTTCAATCGTGCTGCAGTCAGTGTTGTGAGATTTTTCGTCATGATTATTCTTGTATTACATCTGTCAATTTTAAAGTTGCCTTACTTAGCTATCACGCTAAGTGTAGTAAGCAGCTCATTCCGCACTCTAGAGACCATAGAAGAAATGACTATACGAGAGCAAACGCCGAGACCTCGAAAAGTTTGAGATCCCTTTCACTGAGCTCTCGACCTTCGCAAATCTCCGGAGAGAATCTAACGAGCAGGTCCTGGGTTCTCACAAAGTATTTATTTTGTTGTCTGGTGCTATGAATTCAGCTCTAAGCTCAAGAGGCAGTCTCAATTTAATAGCATTCATAATTTCAGCCAACATGGCAGAACAAATGTAGATCAATAAAACGTGTGGGGTGTAACGAAAGACAGCGTTCAACATAACAATACAGTTTATTCAACAAAGTACTAGCTACCACAACAACGAAAAATTATTACTGACGTTACTCGAAATTCTTCCTGTGACACCTTTACGAAAGCTAGACACCAGTCACGAGTATGACTACAGGTTCCTTCCTGCAATCGCGTTGTGCTGCATAAATGAACTAACTTGAACTTACTGAGTGTTCACAGAGGAATCAATCAAGCAAAACATTCTAATCTATAATTATTAATGCAACAACAACAAAGTAGGTTAAGAGACACTCTTCCAGTAACCTCCTCCAGTTAATTTACGTTTATTTGCAACCCTCCCCTGCAATAGCCGTTGCATTGCAATCAAACTAGTACCCTACCAATGACATTACAGTGACTAATGGGGTTACTGGCAACTCCAACAACCCTCCTTAATTAAATTCTTGAGTTAACACTCCGTCCCTCGGACGATCAACAATCAATGACTAATTGATTACGTTAATATTAAAGTAACACTTACGTTAACTTAATCTTGTCTCCCACAGACAAATCAAAGTGTACAACTGTCACTAGTAACTTGGAATTGCATAAACACGTGACCCGTCAAGCGTTCTGTGAGTAATCTCCAATAATTTCTGTACTATGGACAGCTGATTAATCCCAGTATGAGTTACGTTATCGGTTACTATCATCCCTTCGATAGTTTACTACAATTCTATGACCAAAGTGCTAAGAAAAAGGGCAGCTACCCTTGACAACCCTGAGAAATTAATTACTAACTCGAAGATCAATAATTACTTATACACAAACACGTCACCTTTCACACTGGCTCAACAATTACGACATCAATGATATGAATTCCCTCTGGGGTCTTCCATACGCCAGTGACTCAGGTGACTAGTTCACTATCCCACGGACCGATAACTAATCACCACGTCTACGTTACTTTAACAATGACTTTACTCTCCCAGGAGTCAATCAAATTACTTGTCCAACGGACAGATATTAATAACTGACGTTACATCTATGAAACAATGTAACCTTCGTGTGAGTTGATCAACCCTGATCGGAGTTAATTACTTTGACTTCCATGAACCCATAATTACCTGTCCAACTGACAGATATTAATAACCGACGTTACGTTAATGAAACAATGTAACCTTCGTGTGAGTCAATCAACCCTGATCGGAGTTAATTACTTTGACTTCCGTGAACCCATAATTACCTGTCCAACTGACAGATAATTTGCAACAGACAGTACATAAAATGCAAGACTTCAGCCCCTCCCAGAATTCCTACAATATTGTGGGATATCTGGGCTTGACTCAATTTATTTAATTATTAAATTAATGAAATCAATTACGAAGGACCACCCACTTTTAAGAAAAGAGGGAAACTAATAAAAAGTGATCATTAGAAACACTGTTGTAATCCACAAGTTAGTAGGAATTATTAGCTAGAGGATCATTACTACAACACTTAACGAATGATGATTGGAAGTACATTTTAAGTAGACAGACTATGGATCACATATCTAAGAAAGGTCAAGGGATTAAGACCGCAGCTACTTAGCCAAATTAATAATTCCTGGAAAGAGGAATTATTCTTCTTCAGGCTTCTAGGAACAAGATTACTGCTTCTAGGGATAAGGTTAATCGGATTAAACCTGTCTTGAGAGGCGGAGTGAAATGGTTGAGGTAGATGGCTGATTGGAGCCAGCATGATTGTGAGAGTTGAACTGAGAAGTCCTCTGGATCTCCGTTAGTGGCAGCAGCGAAGTGTAGCAGACAGCTATGCGAGAACCTGATGTGATCTTAGTGACCAAGTTAAGTCTGCAGTATGTGAGTATTGAATGAAAGACTAACCGGGTGTGGAGCGTTGTAGTAATCATTCCATATTAGGGACTTAGGCGGAAGTTACGAGTGTGGGTGGTGACCGCGGAGGTCAAGTGGTCTATGGGTATTGGAAGTGTATTGACCTAATAGAGTATGTTAATATGTTATTATTTGTCAGAGTCTATTCTTTGTAATTAAATGACAAAACCCGACAGCCTTTAAATACCTTCCATATGTTCACTCATGGTGTTCCAGTACAAACCTAGTGGTACGCCTCAAGGGTCTGGTGTGTGTAGGAGTACACGGTGGTAGTAACGGTTGCTGAGGCAAGGTGTTATGTGTTGTGTAATCGCTGTGTTCGGAATGAACCGGGGTTCAGCGTCACGACATATTTGGTGGCAGCGCAAACAGGTTTTGGAACACTGTGCGAGATGAGGGAAGTGTGGTTCTGGTTTAGTTGGTGAGGGAATGTTTGGGAAATGGTAGACGTCGGGTTGTGGTGAGAATGGTGGTTACTAGACGGAGGAAAGAAGGGTCAGAGGAGTTAGTTAATTAAAGGGACTAGGCCATTGTGGGGCACATGTGGGGTTTATTTCTTTCTTTCCAGATTCCCGCAACGAGAGACGGCTAAGAGGCAAGTCTGGACCACTGAAGCATCGGGATCCAAAACAAGTGCAGTGTTCATCGTGCGGATTATACAGTGTTCGTAGTGCGGATTATACAGTGTTCGTAGTGCGGATTATACAGCGTGGCGAGGTAAACTAGCGCGGGTGAATGTGGGCCAGCGTGGGCCATGTGCGGCCATGTGCGGGCCAAGCGATGGGTGGGCCAAGCGAGCCGCACCTTGGAGCTGTTATATATCATTGGTATGTCGGAAAAAGTGAGAAACCAATGCTAAGGTGAAATTAAGCGTGAAAACTACGTAATTTAAAGTTAATTAAATTTCATGTAACGTGTAAATCAAATATTTTAAGGATAATGAAATATTACCTAAAGTACTGTGCGAGTTCCGGCGTTGTCAGGTGTAGATACAGAAAATAGGCGAAGTGAATTGTGAACTCCTAGACATAGCGAGCGACGCGTAATTTGACGTCTGGGGTTCGATGTCTCGTGTACCGTGGAGAGGTCCATGGAGATTTTTTAGTGGGTGCAGGTAACATTATGGAGAGTGTTACCTTGGGACACGGGAAGCGTGTCCCTTCGGTAGAGGTGTGTGGCGCCGGGCAGTGCATGGTTGTTTATTGACGGTTGGACGAGGGTGAGTAGTGTAATGCATGTGTAGTGGCGTATTAGACGCCAGCGTAATGACTAGTTACTGTAGTGTAATGTGCATGTTTTGACTGTTGATATTATGGATGTAGTATAGTGCATGACATTGTTGGCATTGTAGCGCCAAGGTGTAGCATGTGTAGCATATCTGGTTGTTGTAACACCGGGTGTATTGTAGACATTAGCGTTGAAGTATGTTAACGCAGGAGGTAGAGTGTGGCGGGTGGCCACTACACAAGAAATTATGCCTGACGAGTGTTGGTCAGGTAATTAACGGATTACGAGAGAAAAGGGAGTGTGTGTGGCGTCTGGTTACTTATTGGTGGTGTTATTGGTGGTGACGTCTCATGGTGTTTTGATGTGCTCTGGCGCAAGGCACATGCCTGTGGTGGTAATGGTGGTGGGGGACGCCGTGTGTGTTGTGTTGATTGCGTTGAAGACGCTGTGTGTATGTTGAGGGCGTTGGGGACGCCGTGTGTTGTGTTGGGGACGCCGTGTGTTGTGTTGAGAGCGTTGGGGACGCCGTGTGTTGTGTTGGGGACGCCGTGTGTTGTGTTGAGGGCGTTGGGGGCGCCGTGTGTTGTGTTGAGGGCGTTGGGGACGCCGTGTGTTGTGTTGAGGGCGTTGGGGACGCCGTGTGTTATGTTGAGGGCGTTGGGGACGCCGGGTGTTGTGTTGAGGGCGTTGGGGACGCCATTGGGTGGAGTAGTGTAGTGGCGTTTGGACGCCTGGTATGGAGTGTGGTGTTGTGGAGTATATGGTGGCGCAGGGGCGCCAGGTAGTGGTCGGTGAGTATCGGCGTAGCAAGGTCGGTGCGTTAGGACGCAGGAAGTGGTTGTGGGGATGTGTGGTGTTATAATGAGGTCATCAGTGGATGGGATGACCAGAGGTGATGGTGTGTCGGAGTGGGTAAGTCGGATGGATAAGATGCAATGTGGATAATTGCCGGAGTTGGTGGCTGCAGTAGGCGAGCCAAGTCGATATATCTACCAAGACTCATAAAAGACTAATAAAAATTCATTATTTTCATTAAAATTTTCATTAATTAAGTTGGAGTGGGTAAGTCTTATGGATAAGATTATAAGGTAGAATTTCAAATTTCAGGTGTTGGTGGT